CTGGCACCTGAACATACTTCTGGAGTGAAAAAAAAATCGTTAACCCGGGGTCCACTGTATTGGCAATTTGGAGGGATATACTGTGTATTTTTATACATATATACTTCTAAACTGTTGTATTCTGGGCACCTCTGCAAAAACTGATTATGTGTGAGTGAGGTGAAAGTGTTGAATGATGATGAAAGTATTTTCTGCCTTGGTGGGAGACGGCCGACTTGTTGAAAAAATAAAAAAAAAAAATAAATATTAAAAAAAATTAACAAAACAATCAATAACCGAGCATCCAGTATTACAAGCACATAAAGGTACAACAGTTATGTAATTTTTTTTTTTTTAAAAAGTCGGCTGTTCCCACCGAAGCAGGGTGACCCAAAAAGAAGAAAATCCCAAAGAGAAAATACTTTCATCATCATTCAACACTTTCACTTCACTCACACATAATCATTGTTTTTGCAGAGGTGCTCAGAACACAACAGTTTAGAAGCATATATGTATAAAGATACACAACATATTCCTTCAAACTGCCAATATCCCAAACCCCTCCTTTAAAGTGCAGGCATTGTACTTCCCATTTCCAGGACTCAAGTCCGGCTATATAAAATAACAGGTTTCCCTGAATCCCCATATACAGTACTTAATTTTAAAAAATCAGCCATTATTTTAATCAATCAGCATATTTTGTGGTTGAGAAAGGATAGAAATCTTGTACAATGCACCCCCTCGAAGGGCATGAGTAAACTGCAAATTTGAGGTGCTAGTTAGGACCTACCATAACTGGGTTAGAATAGTGAACTTTCCAATTACAACACTTAGCCTGCTCATGGTATGAATTGTAGCACGAGCCTGGCCTTCACTGCCCATACAAAACTGAGAATCCGATGGGGCTACCACCAATGAAGTAGACATCACTAGATGTTGAAGAGCCATGAGGACAGGATATACATTAGTTCAAGAGTGAGGAGAAGCACTGACTGGGAAAGGGGCTTTGACCTAACAGAATATTGTAAAATCAACATTCGTAGTTTTTGACACGTGTATACAGTGGACCCCTGGTTAACGATATTTTTTCATTCCAGAAGTATGTTCAGGTGCCAGTACTGACCGAATTTTTTCCCATAAGGAATATTGTGAAGTAGATTAGTCCATTTCAGACCCCCAAACATACACGTACAAACGCACTTACATAAATACACTTACATAATTGGTCGCATTGGAGTGATCGTTAAGCGGGGTCCACTGTACATCAGGACTGGCTGTAATGTTCTTGGATTCTTATGAAAGAAAATTAGCACATGACAGTATCAGTAAGAGATGCTCATGTAACCACAATAACTGGCCAAAGTGAAAAGATATAGCAGAAAAAATAGGAAAAAATACAAGCTCACAGGGGGTCTACAATTGCATCGGGACAATACACTAACAGCACAACACACAGCAGTGTACAGCTGTGGGGGGCCCTATTCCACAGAAGGGGCTTTTCATGGACAGAATGTCCAAGAACAGAGGGCAAAAAAACCTTGGGGGAAAATTGCAAGGATGACACTATTCCTTCTAGGAGCGGTTGGTAGCAACAACCACCCAGGGGGGGTATACAGTCCTGCCAACAAGTGTAAAATGAAAGCCTGAAATTGTTTTCATTTGGTAGGATTGCTGGTGCCCTTTTTTTTCCATCTTAAAACGTGAAAAAGATTTCAGGTTCGTCTTGCTATTCTATTACCTTAGGTACACTACACACACAGTACAACATATACATTATATATACACATCCTTTGGGTTTTTCTTTTTTTTTTAGTTCTTATTTTTTTTATTTTTTCTTATTCCATGGGGAAAATGGAAAAAGAATTTTTCCTCCGTAAACTATGATGTTTAAAAAGGCGACTAAAATGCCGGAGCAAGAGGTAGTAACCCCTTCTCCTGTATAAATTACTAAAATAAAAAAAAATTTTGTTTTTCTTTTTGAACCACCCTCCTTGGTGAGTTTAGGGCCGTTGTTTAAAGAAGGACTTTTCCCCATCACAATTCCCTTCCAAAAAAGCCCCCCAATCATGGGTCCTCGACCATTCCCCAAAGCTTGGGTGGGTCTTTCCCACTTCAAGTGCCATCAAAATAGAGCAGCTGAAGGAGAAGCAACTAAAGGAAATTAAAGGTGGATTAAGAAAGGGGCGCACAAAACCTTGGGGGTATTGTTACGCCAAAAACCGAAAAAAATGGGGGTAATTTTGGGTTCTTAGCCCTCACCCTTATGGGAGTGAAAACTCAAATTTTTGTTTCTTTCTTCACTTTCTTAGTATTAAATCACCTGTTCACCTAAAGAACCTGATGTGCATGTGAAACAGTCTGGCAAAAAAAAGACCCCAAAAGTTTTGCCGGGGGTTCATTCTCATTTGCCAGTATAAAAAACCTAAATAATATAAGACCTGGTGGGGGTTTAGGAGGAATCCTTAGGGGATTTACGGGAAGTGCCAGCTTCCAGGAAAAAAAGGGAGCGGGCCTACATTTAAATTCTTCCAATATGTTTACTTTTTTAACAAATTAAAATTTATGTTGCCCAAAAAGACAAAAAATCTTTTTTCGGACAAAAGAAGAAGGTTTTCATCGCCATTTTATTTCCCACTGCTTTTACTACCCAAACCTGATGAGATAATAGGAAGCCGGGGGACAACCCCGTTTCCAACTTGCGACCCCCGGAGCCAAACCCCCCACCAGTGTAGTGCAGGATACATAAATTATACAATGTAGAGCACTAAAAATTTTCCTTTATATACTGCATTATAATTTTTTCTTCTTAACATGCAGAGGCACTCAGATACGACAGTTTAGACATCCCTCCAAACTGCCAATATCTTAAACCCCTCCTTTAATTAAAGTGCGGGCATTGTGCTTCCCATTTCCAAGACTCAAGTCCGGCTAACTGGTTTCCCTGAATCCCTTCACAAAATATATTACCCTGCTCACACTCCAACAGCTCGTCAGATCCCAAAAACCATTCATCTCCATTCACTCCTATCTAACACGCACACGCACGCTTGCTGGAAGTCCAAGCCCCTCGCCCACAAAACCCCCTTTACCCCCTCCCTCCAACCTTTTCAGGGACAACCCTTACCCCACCTTCCTTATTTGAAAGGGATCCCTTTGAACAAAGAAATTATGCAGGATTTATAAAATTGAATAAGACTGCTGTGCTTAAGAGGACTATAAAGGAATAGATCAAAAAACATAATAAAGATAAAAGGGTAACAGAGAAATTCTGAAAGCCTACACTGCGGTAAAGATGGTAGTCGCAGACTTTCAATTGCAAGGACGCCGGTTCAGGCCCTATAAGTTTTACACATTTTCTTAATGTCACAAAAGGTGAGAGTCTTTTCAGAGCTTTAAAACTATTCAAGGGTATGAAATATATATATGTATATAGCAGTATAAATTTGAACTGAATTCTGTTAAACATTTTACTTAATCCTGAATTTATGTCTGGCCCATCTACACAGATGCTTGGACTGTAACAAAAAGGGTCCCACTTCTAACAAATGCCTCATTGGAAACAAGTGTAGTAAATACTACTTGTGAAAACATCACCAGTTCAAGTAAAAAGGTAATTTATGAGTATAGTATTTTATAACAAATTCTGACGCAGTTTTGACCGGCTTGCCTGAAGACATTTTACTATACTGTACTTGTAAACAGGTTGACAGCATCAGGTCGCTAAGCAAATTTGCTTTCACTGCAATATACACTCAAAAGGATGTCCAGGAAAAATTAGCTTTTAAAATGAATGAAGGATAGAGAAAGCTAATCACTACTTTAATGAAAATTGTTAAATGTGATATCTCATTCCAGAAGAATGTTCATACACTATTAAGAGATAACATTTAAAACTCACATACTGGATTTCCAGCTAATGCATCATATTAATAATATGAACCAAACAAACCAGGGGAGCCTAGATTCAGTTATTGCCAAAAGAAGGATGCCAATACTGGGTCTCAAAGAGATACCAACCACAGGCATTCACTTAAATGTAAACTGACAGCACAATAAGCTGCATTAAGCCTCCAAAATGGACTATACAGATTAATATTTTTTATATGTACAGTACCATTTTTTTTTTTTAACCCAACAGCCATCTTCTAACAAGACAGGATGACCCAGAGAAGAAAACACATTCGACAATATTCACTTAATTGCCATCTTTCCAGAAGTGTGGCAGACATCACAGTCAGATTACCCTCTGATTGCAACATTCCCAACCCCTTCTTCGGAATGCTGCACCGCTCTTCCCACCTCCAGGACTCGAGTCTGGTTAACCAGTCTTCCAGAATCTCTTCAAAATGTTACCTTGCCTCCCAACAGCACACCTATTAAAAACTACTTGTCTCCATGCACTTTTATCTAACACACTCACACAAGCCTGTTAGATGTTCAAACCCCTAAAATTCAGAGCCTCTTGTATCCCCTTCCTCCATCCATTTCCTGAGATGACCCTTTTTTTCTCTTCCCTTCCACCCCAGATTATATACATTCTCTCCAACCTTTCCCTCTCCATCCTCTCTATATGCCCATACCATGACACTGCCTCCTCAGCCCTCTGAATTATACCCTTGGTCACTCCACATTTTCTTTTGATTTTTATGCTCTGAATTCTCTGCATGATATTCATATCACACACTGCTCTCAAAGATGGCACCTCTGCTGCCTTCAGCCTCCTTTTCATTAAAGCAAAAAATGGAAAGACTGAATTTAATTTCAATAAATGTCATGTAATGGAAATGGGAGAAAGGAAAATTAGAGGAAACCAGTTAGCCAGACTATATCCTAGAGGTAGGATATACAGTGTCTGCACACCACAGGGGTGGGGATGTTGCAGTTCGATAAGTCACTTGAATTGTCATGTGTGCATTTATGGCTACTGAAGGAATGATGGTAGTTTCCTTTTTGGTTACTAAACCCTTTGGGAGGAGGCTGCATGTGTTAAAAAATAGAAAAGAGTAATTACTTACCTGAAAACATTCTCATAATTCTTTACAGCAGTTAAATCTGAGAGCATGGTGGCATTTAGAACAGTAGAGTGTAATTTAGCATTGCTAGCCTGTATAGATGAAGCCCTGGATGACTTCTTTGCATCTAGTTTATTTGATTTTGATTCTAGATTAGCTTGTGGCAAAAGAGAAGCTCCTTGATGGCTAGCCTGACTTCCTGATCCTGATATTTTTAGCACACTTGAAGATCGACTTGTGGGGCCAAGTTTTGATGCATGTGTTGATCTGTGAAACAGAGTCAGTTGAATCCATTATACATAATTATTCACCACATATATATCAGCTACTGAATAAAATTACATTGCTTTATAAATCTCAAGTTAGACAAAATCAACAGAAAATTAAAAAACAAAATACGTATATATGATTCACAATTATACTGACAAGCTACTGTGATGCAAGCTCAGACTGTTAGAAGCTACAGAGACGAACGATGTCACCCTAATCCTTAAACCCGACAAAATACTGTTAGTAGATATAAAGTGTTGGCATCATAAGCCAGAAACAATTCAGTTTCAATTATGTCAATTCTTGAAATATTTTCTTAATATGGATTTCATAAAATTGTTTTTTTTACAGTAAATTTTACAAGCTGTACATATCTAAAAGTAATAATAAAAACATCATCCCAACAGCATTTCTGCATCATGTACAGGTATTGGCTTAATGTCCACTGCTCATTAAAAATTATTTGAGACACTATTTTAATACTACTCCCATGGGAATTTTGCTACTTGAAAATATTCAATGAAAACAGTCAAATGACCAGATGCTGATGTTTTGTATTTTCTAAGTTAGCTAGTAAAACCTCATTAAACTGTTTGTGTGTTTTATTCATCCTTCCCCATTTTTTTTTTTGCAAAGACTGTATAAGAGAAATGTTAAGTGCTTTCATTTTTCCACAATATTTCTTCAAACATGCAACTAAAGCCTGTATCTTTCCTTACCTCACAGGCTTTGGTTTTTGAATTTGTTTCTTCCCTAAAAATGGATGTACTTGTTGTCAGAGTATTGTTGAGGCCACTCTTCTGAAGTCTACTAAGCCAGCACTGTTGGATTTATTACCACTGCTATTACTTCCGCCACTGCTGTCCTTTGAAATGGCACCTGCATTTTAAATCGTGACTGAACAATCCTGGTTGTCGGTCGTTTTACCTGCACTTTTTCCTTGCTGTGAGAATGAATATAATAAAATCAGTTGCTATAGGTAATAAAAAAAACTTTAATCTTTACATTTCAGTACTATACTAACCTATATACAGTACAATACAGCTGCAATACAACTCATACAAGAATATTCACAAAACAATATTCACTGAATATCTAAGCTGTCATAAAACCATGTAATTAGCATAAAACAAAGACACTGGAGGCATGTGAGACAATGACAGAGTCCAATTAGAGCAACATTAATGACAAAAATAACTTTTTTTTTAATCATTTTTTTTAACACACCAGCCTTCTCCCAGCAAGGCAAGGTGGCCCAAAAAAGAAATGCTTTCATCATCATTCACACAATCAGTCTTTGCAGAGCCATGCCATAATACGTACTATGGTGCAAAGAATAAAAAGTTACGAGAAGAAAAATACAGCAGAATGAATTACCCAGTATTAGTAGTGTTATCAGCAACACCACTTCCGTTGTCACTTTTACTTTTACTGGGCTGTTTTCTGGTACTTTGCCAGAGAGTTCTGATGCTGACTGGCTCATACCTAAAAAAAAAAAAATTATTGCATAAAAATTATCCCATTTCAAAATAACTCTGACTAACATTTTGTTTGTTAAATTTTATATACAGTAGACCGTCATTAACACTGTAGTTACATTCCTGAAAAACACCGTTTTATATTTAAAATCTTGTTAGGCAAAGTGAAGAACTTATGGGAAAAATAGGGTTATGTTTCTGGGAGCCCCAAAAAAAGCCAACAATTTTTTTTTCGGCTTTCAGATCTTACAAAAAAAAAAAGTGAATATGTAATTGTAGTTCACTGTCGTGATGTATATGTTGTTTTTTACTGTTTAGCCCTTTCAGGGTTGGTGCCGTACTAGTACGGCTTGCACACCAGGTTGGTGCCGTACTAGTACGCATAAATTCTAGCACCTTCAAATCTAGTGAGAGAAAGCTGGTAGGCCTACATATGAAAGAATGGGTCGACATGGTCAATGTGTTAGTATAAAAAAAATCCTGCAGCACACAGTGCATGAGAAAAAAAAAAACTCCGACTGTGTTTTTGGTTTAAAACAGTGAGTTTGCAGTGTAGTTTCGTACACTATTTATGGTTGTATTCTAGTTTTCCCCGGTCACATTTTATAGAATGGAAGACATATTACGGAAATTAAGATGATTTTGATTGGTTTCACCATGAAAAGTACCTTTCAACCCTTTCAGGGTTGGTGCCGTACTAGTACGGCTTGCACACCAGGGTTGGTGCCGTACTAGTACGCATAAATTCTAGCACCTTCAAATCTAGTGAGAGAAAGCTGGTAGGCCTACATATGAAAGAATGGGTCGACATGGTCAATGTGTGTAGTATAAAAAAATCCTGCAGCACACAGTGCATGAGAAAAAAAAAAACTCCGACTGTGTTTTTGGTTTAAAACAGTGAGTTTGCAGTGTAGTTTCGTACACTATTTATGGTTGTATTCTAGTTTTCCTGGTCTCATTTTATAGAATGGAAGACATATTACGGAAATTAAGATGATTTTGATTGGTTTCACCATGAAAAGTACCTTGAAATTGAGCTCAAAGTAGCAGAAATGTTCGATTTTTGCCAAAGTTCAAAAGTAAACAAATCACGTCATGCGTCCAATACACGTCAACTGGTGAGTCTAACATTCTTTCACAAATGCGCTGATATTATTTATACCATTTCTACACTAATGCAGTAGTCTGCATAACAGTAAATTTTCTATTTTTTGTGAGAATAAAAATTCAAAGTGGAAAGCAAAAAAAATGTAACAGAGGCCTGGGGACATGACTAATGAACAGAGGAAATGTTATTTTAGTGCCAGAGTATCTGTCTTGTTTATTCTGGACCCTATTTGGAAATTGACATCTTTTGAACTTTGTGTGAAATTGGCAAAATTGCCAATTCCTGACCACTTTATTATAGTTGAAATAGGTAAATGGGTGGTTTCTTGTACTCATTCAATAGAAAAAATGGAGTTCTAGCAAAACAGTTATGATTTTTTCGACTGGTACATTGGGGAACTGGCCGAACATAGGGCTCAAAAGGGCGAAATCGCCGATGCATAAACATCGTCGAGACCGCTAACTTCGTAAGAGCATAATTCCTTAAGTTTTCCATTAAATTTCATACTTTTGGCATCATTATGATCAGGAAAAGATTCTCTATCATTTCATAAGAAATTTTTTTTTTTTATATATAAAATTTTTGACCCTGAGAACAAATTTAGTAGAGGCCCTGCCGACCCTAAAAAGGTTAAGATTACAAGTACAACAGAAATAATAGTATTGCTTACGCTAAATTGGGGGTGCTGGTGTTTGTAAATGATTGTGGAAAGTGGAGAGTTGTGCTGTGGCCCTACTGTGCTGAGGTGGATGGTAGAGGTTCTGGTACTGAAGTCGATGGTTGTACTGGAGTGTGCATAAATTTTGTAATGGATTTCTGTTCTATTTTACCCGGCAGTACATTATACAACTGACAGTAAGGCATCAGCTGCTCTAGACACCATTTCAGGATCCTCTTCAGTGAAAAAGTCTAAGTCAGTAAAATAGTCAAGTCAGTAAATCAGTCAATCAAGTCAGTAAGTCAGTCAGTAATACTGTCAGTCAGTGCATCAGTAATACAGTCAATCAGTAAGTCAGTAATACAGTCAATCAGTAAGTCAGTCAAGTCAGTCAGTAAGTCAGTCAAGTCAGTCAGTAAGTCAGTCAGTAAGTCAGTCAAGTCAGTCAGTAAGTCAGTCAAGTCAGTCAGTAAGTCAGTCAAGTCAGTCAGTAAGTCAGTAAAGTCAGTCAGTAAGTCAGTCAAGTCAGTCAGTAAGTCAGTCAGTGCATCAGTAATACTGTCAGTCAGTGCATCAGTAATACAGTCAATCAGTAAGTCAGTAATACAGTCAATCAGTAAGTCAGTCAAGTCAGTCAGTAAGCCAGTCAAGTCAATCAGTAAGTCAGTCAAGTTAGTCAGTAAGTCACTCAGTAAATCAGTCATCACACAAACTCACATTTACCTAATTCTTTTTATGTGCACAAAGAGATGCTTCATTACGGCTACAGGCTATCTCGTCTAGTACAGGTACCATCCGACTTACAACCGAGCTTGGTTCCAACCAACCAGTCGAAAGTCAAAATGGACGAAAGTCAACTTTACTACTGAATATCAACATCACATTTTTGTAATGACTTTATGTATTTAATTGTTTTATTTTGGTATTTCATTTTTTACTTTACTTTTGATGCTGTTAGTACTGTATTTTATACTGCAAGGTTTAGGATAAACACTGTGTACAACACAAACAGTTGTTTATTTTCACAGAAATTTGGCATAAAAAACATGGTCGTAAGTCGAGTGGTCGTATGTCAAGCAGGAGGTCGTAAGTCGGATGGTAGGTGTATCTCTATTTTCTTCGTTAATTCTAAGACTTAAACGCTTAAACCTTTTCTTGCCACTTTCAGCAACACTTGTATGCCTACTGGGTGCCATGACTGCAAGAAAAAGATATAAATTCCTAGCAGAGGACTGTACATATCCCGCGGGCAACGCGCTCAAAATTTTTTCCCCTCCTGTGAATAGTGTTAATTTTACAAAGTGTTATACAAAAATATGCAGCAATTCTTCAGTCGTGCTATAACCAAAATGTGCCAGACAATACTGTGTTAAACAACGGTCTATACCCGAAGTATACCTGGAGAGAGTTCCAGGGGTCAAGGCCCCCCATGGCCTGGTCTGTGACCAGGCCTCATGGTGGATCAGGGCCTGATCAACCAGGCTGTTACTACTGGCCGCACGCAACCTAACGTACAAACCACAGCCCGGCTGGTCAGGTACTGACTTTAGGTGCCTGTCCAGTGCCTGCTTGAAGACAGTCAGGGGTCTTTTGGTAATCCCCCTGATGTATGCTGGGAGGCAACTGAACAGTCTTGGGCCCCTGACACTTATTGTGTTGTCTCTTATCGTGCTAGTGGCACCCCTGTTTTTTCATTGGAGGGATGTTGCACAGTCTGCCAAGTCTTTTGCTTTCGTAGGGAGTGATTTTCATTTGCAAGTTTGGTACTAGTCCCTCTAGGATTTTCCAGGTGTATATAATCATGTATCTCTCCCTCCTGCATTTTAGGGAGTACAGGTTTAGGAACTTCAAGCGTTCCCAGGAATTGCGGTGGTTTATTGCAGTTATGCGCGCCGTGAAGGTTCTCTGTACATTTTCTAGGTCAGCAATTTCACCTGCCATGAAAGGTGCTGTTAGTGTGCAGCAATATTCCAGCCTAGATAGAACAAGCAACCTGAAGAATGTCATCATGGGCTACTGTATAATATAATCATTACATCTGAATTGTGATGGGCTGCACACTTTCTATTGTAACAGAATACATGGGCACCACATCAGAAACAAATTCCTTTTTCATATTCCTCATATTCAACTGAACATCTACACAAATTCTATGCCAATTAGAGGTCCAAAAATGTGGGATAATTTAACAGATGAATTGAAAAATTGTAATACACCTAGCCAATTTAAAAATAAAAAATTGTAGTCAAATCATTTGTAAATGCCTTTTACTCTTTTTATTAGGTTCTCCATATTAACACTACTGCTTTAATATATTGTATCGATTGTCACCTAATGTTGTAAAAAAAAACTGTTCTTGATAACAATCTGATTTGAATTCTAACTCAATTTTTTCTTACCATCCAGTACCACGTTACACTTTTAGTCTGTCATATATTTTTTTAACACAGCCATTTCTCACTGAGGCAGGGTGACCCAAAAAGAAAAAAAAAACTTTCATCATTCAACACTTTCACCATCATTCACACATAATCATTGTCTTTGCAGAAGCACACAGATATGACAGTTCAGATGTCACTCCAAACAGCAGATATCTCAAACCCCTCCTTTAAAGTGCAGACATTGTACTTCCCACCTCCAGGACTAAGTTTGGCTAACTGGTTTCCCTGAATCCCTTCACAAAATATTACCCTGCTCACACTCCAACAGCTCGTCAGGTCCCAACAACCATTTGTCTTGATTCACTCCTATCAAACATGCTCACACATGCCTGCTGCATGAAGTTTTCTGTCTACGATCTACATGAATAAACAATTCTTTTTTATCCTTTTACCTGAGCTGAGCGAGGCTCCAGATGGTTCGACAGACTCAGGATTTGTGGCGTTCAAGGTCGTATCTTCATCTTCTGACATGTTAACGGGCAACTTCTCCGATACACTTATAAATATTCACTGAGGTCTTCAACTCTTAAAGTTACAAAAGTAGTTGGTTAAAAATTCATTTCAATGCTATTTTTCATTGTCTTCAGAAGTATTGTAATTTAAATCAATGAAAAACAATAGAAAGTAGTGTTTAATTAGTCCATTAATGCATGAATAAGGCATGTTGCAGTGTATTTTTCCTGCTCTGGGAAATTTCCCTAATTATAGAAAATGGCCATTGCCAGAGAAGCAGCTATATCACTAAATTTTAATGATCACGGCAACATGAGATTGCTAAAGGCAAAGAAAAAAAATGATTGAATTCTATAGCTTATGTCTCTCAGTTAAATAATTTATTTAGAGAGCTTCAGGAAGACATTACTATTCAATGATGAAATCAGGTACAGAGACAGTAATACAAATTCCTAAGTTACACTTGAATTTAAACACTTATGTAACCCTTAACCCTTGACTGTTTCAGGCCCCTCTCTGAAACTGTCTTCTATGTCGCCAAATTTCGAAAAAAAAAAAAATTTTATTAAAAATGTTAGAAACATTTTTATGAGTGTTTTAAGCCTAAAAAAAAAATTTTTTTGCCATCAGTACTTACCGAGATATAGAGCCGTAAAGTTTGCAGAAAGTGACGTGCGTACGGCAACAGCGGCGACTGCTGCCCCCCCGGTATTCTTTTATTTTCTCTAATTCAAAGGTTTCTTGCATTTTTCAATATTTTTCGTTCCAGGTAACTTATGTGGCCTGTGAGACCAATGAAAGGTGCATTGTTCAAATATACACTCATTGTTTACAACACAAAAAACAGAACAAACTTTATCACTATTAGTTTGTGTATACACTTTGTTTACACAAACAAACAAACAATACAAAACAATGTTTTTTACTATTGTTCCATAATATATTTTACCCTATGTACAGTCACTAACACGTTCCTAGAACTGCTGCAGCTTGTGGAACTCTTTGAAACATGGGTATATGCAGAGGGCACTTCACACTCCTCACACCCTAAAACGAGTGTCTGCGTTTTTGTGGGGCGTTTTGTGGTATGCATACATACATAACACCTCTTTTGACCATTTTTCTTGGCAGTAGTAGGAGGCAGTTTTGTATGGGGTAGTGATCACCAGGCCTGAAACGAGATGATGTTGTGGGCGCTGGTCTATTGCAGGAGTTGCTCCCCTTTGGGACTTTGCAATTATTTGTCTGATTACTGACAGGGAAAATTTACCATATTTTGGTGTTTTGTTGGTCTTCAACTTTTATATGTTATAAGCATTTTGCATAGAGATATCAACAAGAGGAAAAAAGTTATATACCACTTAAACTCTTGCTTACACAAAACGCAAACCCAACTGCAGTCACATTTTAAAAGT